CTGAATGGAAGGAAGTGGGCATAGTGAAAGGGAGTAACCTGCCTCCCGAGGAGAATGGAGTTACGTCAAACAGCAGGACTACTTTACTCATTTGCCACTCTCATTCAAGGCTGTTTATTACTCTGGACCAGCCACATTTAACTGAGCGAATAGTCCTGACGCAAGCTGCGCGATGGAGGCTGGGACAAAGTCAAATTGCTTTTTTAAATTGTTTGTACAGCAATCGCTTTTCGCAGCAGTCATTCTAACTCGTGTGAAGTGCTCATTTATTTTAGGGAGAGTAAAGACGCAGGCGTCGCAGCACAGGCTCTGACTTCAAACCAGTGTTCAGCCCGGCATCTTTATAATTGACTATTGATGTACTGCAGCTCCTGCATGTCCTACATCACGGCCAGGCCTTAGGGGTCACTTCCTGTTGACACACAGGTTCAACTCTATGACACTTTACACATACATTGCCAAGATAATGATATTAATGCTATTTACTCTTATTCTTACAAAATATAAACCTCTAGCAGAGTGAATTGAAAAAGAAAATCACATAATAATATTTTTTCCGGTTACTCTGATCTTGTCTAATGCAAGTGTGGTCACCGGCCTTCACACACGAAGGTGAACTGTGAGAAGAAATATAGACTAGTGCAAATACACAGTCACACTGGTGAGCTTGAGCAGCATTCATTAAAGTGTTCTCTCGTATGTGCTTATACAGTAAAATAAACCACTTGTGAAGTTTGTTAGGCCCACCAGTGTGCCGCCTCTTTGGGATGTTTGTCTAAACATAGAGAAACAGCACTTCTGTTTGATATTACATCATCTCTCTGATGCCTCAAACAGTGCTTTGACAAAGGCCCTTTCTGACTGATCTGCAGCCTGCAGTATGCACTGCAGGCTGGCACTGATGGGATTACGGGAGAGTCATCAACACGGACCTCTGACAGAAGGAGGAACAATACAAAAAAAGGAAACGCTGAAACATACACTTACAACCAAGAACAGAATGACTTGTGTCTAACTGTTGATGAATTTAGTTTATGGTTTATTGAAGATTAGCAATAGCGGAAGCCTGTTATAAAGAACCTTGTTCAGAGGTCTATACTGAACAGTGTTGGTTTCATCTGTTGAAGCAGAAAATCAGTACGACGAGGTGGAGGAGGAGGAGGAGATGCTGCATTGGCATGCAACGGGCTGCCTCCTACGTCTCGTGTTAGCTGTCAGCTAGCATAAGCTCTTGTGAGTCGAGTAACGTTGGTGCCGAGAGGTGTGGATGCAGTGTGCTAATGTGCAGCACGTACAATGAATTCACAAATGATTTTTCCTTTGCCTCATTCACAGGGTTGTTATTTTGTTTTGTCAGGACAATAGCCATCTGTCCTAAGAACAAACGAGGTCTGCCTGAGGCTAAAAATATGTTGCACAGAGCAAGGTCAAGGGTTCAAAGTTCAGTATCATTAGAGATAGTTATGACTTTACAAGAGTTTTCTCTGTGCGTTGATTGGCAGAAATATTTTTATGTTGCACAGTTGGGGAGAAAGTGAATCAACGAGTCGTGCTACTTCTGTTGCTCTGCTTTTAAAACGCTATTCAGTCTTAAGTAAATTTTGAGGAATTTACAGTTCAGGTTTTGAGATGTTTAAACTCTAGAAAGGTTTGTTAGACTTGGTGGACCTGCAGGGGTAAAAGAAAAAAAACCTTGACCACTAGTTGCCCTAACAATAGGATTGGTGGTAGTAGTGTTGTATTGAGGTGATTCCATGGTATTAGGCGGAGGTGGTCAGTAAAAGCCATGGACAGAGAAATTGAGTAAAACAGGGAGAGAGGGTGAGAGAGAGACAGTGTGGTAAAGAGAGAGAGCATCACTTATCTGCCTGCTCACAAATTGATGCCATTTTAAGATAACTGCATTGCAAAGTGGTGAGTTCAAGCCTATGCACAGGACACAAGGAGAAAAAATCCTGTGACCATACACTTGTGGGAGTGATGACATCACACAGGTCAGGGCAGGAAGGCAGATGTGAGACTGGAGTCCATCTGTAATGAGGTGTAGTCACTTTTTAGTGACAATAAAAATGTAATTTTAATCTTTTTCCTTTGGTTTGTGATCTGCAGTACGACAGATTCGGTGGACTCTTTTCCAGGCCACTCCAGACCTAAATATGACAGCGAGCTGGGAATAAAGAAATGGGTCAGGAGAAATTGAGGGTAGGAGCTGCAGTAAATATGAGGGCACCAAAAAGATACAGTCCTCTCTTTATGAATACCACTGAGCATGTGGACTTCACTGCCCTGAAAGATTCATGTTTGAGCTTTTAAACACATTTTTATATTATTTATCCACTACAAATATTGGCTGATCTTAAACATGAAAAACACAGATTCAGTCAGTATTATTCCACCTAGTACAGTTGTGACGCACAGTCACCCCCTCACCTCACCTCCATTGTACTGCAACATATTTTAACACCATACTGTATGCATGGCTGCACATCCTTCATATGATGTGTCTTACACACAGCGGATTGGTCAAGCTGGCAATCACATGATATGCATGTCAACCAAGCAGTGGAAGCAGCCACTGCAGCCATGGAGATCCACAGGGATGCTGACACAGCACACCTGATCACCACTCCCTCTCCCCTTCCCTGCTACCCAATCCTCCACCCCCACTGAAAGAAGACATTCAATTTCCATCACATATAAGACACACCGAAGACGTGCTGTAACATCGTCAGCATAATGAGGGGAAAAGATGAGTAGATTAGAGGGCAGTTGTCACAGCTCTGAAGACCCACTCTTGCTAATAGACACACACCCAACGTAACAACATTAGAGGAGCCAACTCCGTCTCCACTGCCTCCCACTGTGGTGTCTCAAATTGGAATGAACGGACCGAAGTTATGTCACCACAAACTGAACGGAAGTTAAAAGAGACTCCACAGGTCAGAAAAGTCAAATGTAAAAGAGTAAAATACTAAATTAATGTATATTTTATATTTACAAAAGTCCCAATTCATTCAGGTTTGTTACAAACAGAACAAATGGATTAAATATAGACCAGTACTGGCATCAAACCCACAGACATAAAGTCATTCATTCTACCAGCTGACCTAATGAAGAATGACTTTTGGCTGCTCCCTTCCTTGGGGGTGGAGTGGAGTGTGTACGGGATTTGGCACAGGTTTTCACTCTTGCTCACACCAACATCACCAGTGCAGACTGGGGCAAGAATCCAAACTTGAGTTGGCTGAGGACCTACCCTGCTCTGATGCTCTCCTTTCATTGTCACCACACAGGATGATCTGCATACTGCATGTGATTGGACAGAGGTTTCTACAATGGATGACCTTGCTGATGCAGCTCTCCTTGATTATGTGGGTTTGATACCAGCATTTGAAGGGCACAGGAATACCTGCAGTACATGTAGGTAAGCACTTCCCACTGAACTGCAGTTCACAATTGACCTTAGAATTCACCTCATATTCTAAAATACAATGGGTGTTTTGTTCAACACACGTGTAAATCATCGTGGTTTGGTCCATATCCGTCTCAGGTCATCTTAATGAGTCATGGTTAGAAAGGGAACCTGAAAGCCGTTTACTAGACTCTTACTTCTACAATGACCATGCCTCATCTTACCTCTAAAATTAATAATTAAATACTCTGACAGTTGGCAGATGCATGGAAAAGAAGCTGTTCATGCTCATCTTTAATGAAGTAGAGAACCAACCTCGTGTTATAGTCACAACGACCAAAAGACCAAACAATTTCAGCGTAAAGTCATCTGGGTTTGTTACTTTAAAGATGAAGATTACATCTTATATATTTTGACAGCTACACTTTTGGAAACCATTTGGTCTTTGTGAGTTCTATATTTAGTAAATATTTAATTTGCCAAACTGGCCAAAGATAAAGGTTGTGATATAGCTTAGAGCAGGATTGCAAAAGTTTCACTTTACTTCAGGTCACGATCCAGTTTTTCTATGCAGGACTTCATTCCACTTCACAAAAATAGTCTAGTAATTCATGAGGGCTACGGTCAATGCTGGCTGATAACTGGATGGCTCAAAAATACAAACAATGTAATACAGTGTTTTTCCTGATGCCTCACAGTAAGAACCCATGCTACGATGAAACTGTATGTCTCAATGAGAAAATGAACCAAACTGGTTTCAACAATGACATCCAGCTATAACCAAATATAGCCCTGTGACCCACTTTTGGGTCTACCTTTAGTCAAACACCAGCTTAGAGCATTTCTTTAGTTCTTGTTTTTACATGTAAATATTTCTTATTATTCAATGTCACCATGGGGCCAGACATCTCATACAACTGATACAGATCAAAAATTACACACGTTGTTCATAGAGAATACCATTACTGATTATGTTTATGTGATGTAAGCAGAACTCCTCAGCAGATAACTGATCCTGCCAGACAGACAGCTGCACAAAACAACAGCAAAAGGAGAACATTATACAATATGAAGTATTTACTGTAGAATAAGTTTGTATCTCAGCAAAAAGGATGCAGTTTCTGCGCCTACTAGAGCCCACACGTTGTTTGCCCACACACAATTCAGAGCAGAATCACACCCACATACTGTAGACTTAAGTGAGTCACAAGGAAATTATTGTATTCTAGAAAACACAGACCAGGCCACGGAAACATAAAAATAAAACCTTAAATATTAGAAAAACTACTTCAACTTGGCCCCTCTGCCTTCTCTGTTTTTGCAGCAAACAACAACACATATCTTCTTCATATCTTCTTGGGGGTCACCACAGCGGCTCATCTTCCTCTTTGTGACCTTATCTTCATGTCTATCTTTTCAACATCCTTCAACACCTTCTCAAGCCCACTTCTGTGTGGCCTTAACTGCTCAACCTTCATCCACCTCTGATGTCATTTTTTTATATCAAAATCTCAGCTTCCTGTCTTTCGGCATGTGTTGACACTTGTCGTATTTAATGGGGTCAAAGAAACACAAGGACAAGGCTATGTGACTATGAACATCCACCCCTTAAAGCAAGAGCAGCATTTAAGAAGCTCCTCCCCACCCTCCATAATGAGTATATTAAATAATTATGACAATGAAAACCCTCAGTCTTCCTGTCAGGTACTTCATGTATTTCAGGGAATTACCCATGTACAAAAAAATGGTCAACATTTGGATACACTTTTATTAAAGCAAATATTATTTTGGAATGCTTCCGTTAGGATAGACAGATAAACGGTAGACAGTACTGTGTGGAACTTTCAGGGGGTTTAACACAGTACAGTCCCATCAACAAGACATAAGAGTCTAAGTATTTTTTTCTGTGCTTTGGTGAGATAAAAAAAATTAAAGTGGGAACAGAGCCTGAGACAGGGCCACTGTATCCACTGTACGCATCATAGCAGATCTCACTAGCACGTTGTACTTTGCTGGTTTTATACAGCATTCATGCTTTGAATGGTTTACCCAAGGTATTTAAACACACACCCCTTTACTGCCTTTACTCACTCAGCATCAGTCATGAACAAACCGACTAAGTGGCAATAAAACTGTTTTTTGGTGAAATATTAGAACCACCCAGAACCAGAGCAAGCACACAGTACATTAAGGTTGAGGGGGACATTATTTCACATGTGAACACAATTCATTTTTATTGTATTTTAAAGACAGTGGAGTTGGACAATAGCACAAAAAGTAGATGTCAGCTGCGGTACACGACCTTCAAGTGTTGGCAGTGGATAACCCAGGCATAGGAGGTGCTTCCCTCCTCACAGCTGACATTACTGCGTAATGAAAACATTGCGCCTTTTCCCCATTTTTCCCCTCACATCTCAGCCCAGCCCGCACCGCATCGGTCTGCATCATCATCACCACACTCATATACCGACAGGTTCAGTGACAGGAGGTAGATTTTAGCACCACAACATCACTTATCCGAGGGATTTTCTTTCACTGGTGATGCCTCAGAGGGGGCGTCGTCCGAGCGTGATGGTCGCCCAGTCCGTCCTGGTCTATGTATGATGTACAGTGTTTTCCGTGGGCAGGTTGTAATGGAGCAATGCGCCCACACTGGCTCTGCGGTAGCTACATCCAAGCGCTATTACGCATAGGAGCGTCAAAGGTGTCAAAAAGTGGGGTCGCTTTTTTTCTTTTTCTTAATTTATCCCTCCGCATCCTCCTTTGTCTATTTCATGCATTTATTCTAATGATATGGTGCTAAATAAATAATACGATGCATATTATTCATATTACACCCAATGGGGCGAAACAGGAGCCGGTGAGGTTCTTGCACGGCTTCGGTTCTGCTTACCTTCCCACCGTTTGGTTGGCGAGCTGTCGCATCCGATTGAACTGCTTCTTCATCTTGAATATTCTGCGTTAACACCTACAGGGGGGAATATTCCGCATTATTTCTCTCAACATAACGGTCCGTGCTTCGCAAAAGCTCCACACAATCCACAAAGTAGTCTTTTCGCCCCTCCATTGCAAAACTGCCAGTGCCTCCGAAACCCTGTTTACCGCAACTACAGTCACTTCATATAATATTAAGATGTATTTCTTTTCTACATCTTCGTTTGCCCCGTTGCCTGTGCATGGATGATGCTGGACCGATTCAACGCGGCCACTCACTGGCAGGGAGCGACCAACAGTGACAGCAGCCTCCCGGCTACGCAGCGGCGCATTGTGGGAAACGTAGTGTAACCAGGCTGGACCGCCTCAATTTTCAGTGTCCTACATCTTTCGATAAAGTTTGGCTGACTTAGGCTGACATACATACAACGTTTCTTATAGGGTTCTCTTCAGTCTTTTAAACATTGTCACATGTTTG